AATTTTTGAGTTATTGTTCACTTTTATGTCATACTATGGAATTTCACATAAATAAATGAAGATTAAATGAAATAAATAATATATATATATATATATATATATATATGTTATTTATTATATGTTATATATATATATATATATATATATATATATATATATATATATATATATATATATATATATATATTATTTTAATAATGACGATGAAGCAAAGAGAAAATAACCACTGCGAGGCCTGAAATTAAGGGAATTAAAATTGGACAAAAGAGCTTTACTTCCTAAATTAGCAATAACATAGTAGAATGACAATAATAATAATAATAATAATAATAATAAAAAAAAAAAAAAAAAACGTCAACGTGACAACACATTCTTTCCACTTTCTCTATTTTATTTATTTATTATAATATTTTAATTTGGAATCAAAAAATCGTATTACTATATTTATAATACCATAGTTATCTGAATTGAATCTATTACAAAACATATAGAAATAAAAAAAGAAAATAGTTCACAAACAAAAAATGATTACCCCGATGACATGTGAAAGTGTCAAAATAAATAATGAATAAAAACAACAAAAACAACAGAGAATGGAAATGAATCAACAATGTTGACGAGGAGCAAAGCACGTTTGAGATCACCGGACTCGTCACGTCGCTCCGCCTCGCAGTTATCGGCAACAGTCACAGTACCGAGTACCCTCCGGCTGACACCTGCAGTTGCGTCGAGTGATAGTGACGAGTACTTCTCTCCTCCGGCGACGCCACCACCAGTTCGTCGAAGAAGAGGCCGGCCACCGAAGGGTTTGGGGCTTGTGGGGCAATCGGCTCCGGTCAGGGCCCCCGCTCCCGGTGGAGTGCACCGCATGCGATGGACAACTTCCATAAACGAAAGTGTCATGCGTGCATATTTTGAGGCAACAGAGGCAGGAACCAATCTTACTGCGTACCGTGCTCGGATGCTTTCTCTGTTTCAGGCTCTTGAACCAACCGTCAACGTTTCGGCTCAACGATTATCGGATCAGGTGCGGGCCATTCAACGGGGTCACTTATTGGATGACTCTACACTTGATCGGCTCCGTACAGAGGTACAAAGTAATCACATCGTTTCTATTGCATCACAGGCGGCAAATCTATCTCCGTCCATTACAGCATTACAAGCTGACGTTGCTGATGGTGATGATAGAGACGATGTGATTACTACTGTAAGTTCCCAATATAATGATGTATTGAGGAGTACTTTCGAGGATGTAGTTCGGGAATTTCGATCCACTCCGTTACGTCTTAGACCTCGGCTTCCGCGTTTCCCTATGCACAAAAAAAATAGGGCGCTGATGTGTACTTTAGATTCGCTATTATCAAATTATATTGATAGTAGCGAAGACCTCGCTGATACTCATTCGATCTTGTACTGTGCGGCTGTTACGGCTTGTCGTGTGGCGCATGTCAAATTCCCAAATACTGACGTAGCAACACGCCCTAGACAGGCTGTACCAGCCTGGCAGTGCAGGATTGAGAACCGTATTAGCGAGGCTAGGGTACTCATCGGTAAGCTCAGCTGTTTCAGGGAGGGCAACACCCGCCCTAGGGTCATGCGCTTTGTGAGGTGTGCATTCTCGGGAACTGGTATTAGTCCCGAGAATTATAGTTCACGTGTCACAGAGCGCATTGACTTTCTGAAACAGAAAATTTTTGCATGGGCTAATCGCATTCGGAGGTATAAGATGCGAGTGAGTCGTTTTACTCAGAACCGCATGTTCGAAAGAGATCAACGTTGTGTTTATCGATCCTGGGAGAGATCGAATCATAGTGATATTGATACGTGTCGACCGGATGATGAGGCCATGATTTCTTTCTGGCGCAACATCTGGTCCGTGCCTGTCACTCATTCTGATGGCGCGTGGATGAGGGATGTTGAGCGATCGTGCGAGCTTTTACCTGAAATGAACGATGTGACCATTGACTACGAAGACGTAGTTTGTGCAGTTCGTTCGTTACCCAACTGGAAATCGCCAGGCCCAGACGGACTGCACAATTTCTGGTTCAAATGGTTACCAAGCTCACACGTTTGCTTAGCATCTCAATTCCAGCGTGCTTTATCATCTCGGTCGCTTCCAGAATTTATGACAACAGGCATAACCCATCTGCTCCATAAATCTGGTAGTACTACGGACCCAAAAAATTACAGACCAATCACCTGTCTGCCAACAATTTATAAAATTCTTACTTCTATTTTGAGATCTAAGATTTGTAAACATATTGATCAAAATTCTATCATGTTCACCTCTCAAAATGGATGTAGGAATGGGGCCCGTGGTACTAAAGAGCTACTCCTCATTGACATGGCTATTAATCAACAGGTCCGCCGTAACCGAAAGACTCTGTCGACTTCCTGGATAGATTACAAGAAAGCGTATGATTCCGTACCGCATTCATGGCTCATGAGGGTGCTGGAGCTGTATAAAATAAATGCAACTCTACGCGCTTTCTTGATGTCATGTATGCGACAGTGGAGAACGGTCTTATTCTATCCAGAATCTCGACGGACTCTGGGTGACGGCGATCCTATAAAAATAGAGCGAGGCATCTTCCAGGGCGACGGTCTGAGTCCATTATGGTTTTGCCTGGCCTTGAACCCTCTGAGTACACTACTCGAGGGTTCAGGTTTAGGCTATCGTTTACGGAGAAATGGTCAAGTAATATCACACCTGCTTTACATGGATGACCTGAAACTTTTTGCCCACAGCAGTTCTCATTTGACAGCCTTACTGAAGGTTACTGAAGATTTCAGTAATGCTATCAGAATGGAATTTGGTGTGGACAAATGTGCAATCATGCATGTAAAGCGTGGTCAGGTAGTGGAATCCGCGGGTATACAACTTTCGGATTCAGTTCACCTTAGATCTCTCTCCGTAAACGAAACCTATAAATATTTAGGTATGTCACAGGCATTAGGCATCAACGATGCTGACATGAAACAGTCATTACGTGAGCGTTTCTTGGGGCGCCTGTCAAAAGTTCTTAAAAGTCTTTTGTCGGGCGGAAATAAGGTTCGTGCATATAATGGCTGGGTAATGCCGCTATTGATGTATTCCTTTGGCATACTTAAATGGACTCAAACTGAACTTGATGCCTTGGACAGAACAGTTCGTACATTGTTAACAGCACACCGTATGCATCACCCACGCTCCTCGACTGTGAGATTGTATATCCCGCGGAAGTGTGGTGGTCGTGGCTTTCTAAATGCCAAGACATTGCATAACCGCGAGATAAACAATCTAAGGGAGTATTTTCTTAACGTCGATATGGGGATTCATAGAGATGTAGTTGCTGTTGACAATGGACTCACTCCTCTATTTTTGGCAAAAGAAAACTGGCGCAGGCCTGTAGTACTTAGTACTTTGGATCGCAGCATTGTATGGCAAAGCAAGGAGTTGCATGGCAGATTCTACCGGGCTCTCCATGGGCCTGACGTAGATTTATCAGCATCAGTATCCTGGCTACGTTTCGGTGACCTTTTTGGTGAAACCGAAGGTTTTATCTGTGCAATTATGGATGAGGTTGTGATGACGAAGAACTACAGGAGGTTTATACTGAAGGATGGCACATTGGATGTTTGCCGTGCGTGCCATCGCCCAGGTGAATCCCTTAGGCATATAATCTCCGGTTGTTCTCGTCTCGCAAATGGCGAATATTTGCACAGACATAACCAAGTGGCCAGGATAATACACCAACAACTTGCTTTGAAATACAATCTTTTAGCATCCGAGGTTCCTTACTACAGGTATGCTCCAGAACAGGTTCTTGAAAATAGCCATGCCACATTATATTGGGATCGATCTATCATTACAGACAGGACTATTGTGGCTAATAAGCCCGATATTGTATTGATAGATCGACACGAACGCCGTGCAGTAGTTGTTGATGTCGCTGTCCCACATGACGACAACCTTGTAAAAGCTGAAAAAGATAAAGAAAACAAATATCTTGATTTAGCTCGCGAGATTGTTGACATGTGGGACATCGATTCAGCAATTGTTGTGCCGATAATCATATCTGCCCATGGTTTGATAGCCAAGAGCCTCGATAAACACCTTAAGAGGCTCGCGTTAGGTGGTTGGGTCAAGAGTCAGATGCAGAAGGCAGTTCTTCTGGACACGGCCCGTATAGTGAGGAGGTTCCTGTCTATGGATCCTTAACCGCCGGTAGCAGGGACCCTGATCTTGCTGCCGATGGGGAACTGCATTTTTGTATTTTTAAATGTTATTTTTTTAATGTTATACGCTGTAAAAATTTAATATTTAGAAATATAATTTTGTATGTATTTTAATGAAATAAAGGAAATAATAATAATAATTCATTTATTTCAGATAACTGTGATCCATATTTGTTAGTAGACTTATTCTATGTTAGTAGTATATGTAATAGATTAATAATAGATTAGGACAGTACATGATTTTTTTTTTCTTTATGTCTTCATCACACTCACACAAAGCTTGATAAAGCAACTATCCATTTTGTTGGCAACAGTCATTAGGATGGTGTTTGAGCTTGCTCGTATTCTGCTCAGCAATGAAGCTATTTTTTTGCGCATGCATGCGTGAAAACCGTCAGTGCGCTCCTCGGCAAACATACCAGAGGCACTACAGAATCTTGGCAAACCCAACAGCATCCTAAACGCATTATTATATTGTACGCGGAGAGCGTTAAGTGATCTCTTAGAATAACTGCACCATAGGCTTCCCGTGTAAAACGCCTGACAGTATGTTTTAAACAGAGTAATTTTAACTTCTTTCGAACAACGGAAAAACCTACGGGCCAGCATATTCGCCCTCACAGTCAACGCTCTCCGCTCCCTTTCTATATCTAATTCGTCTTTTAAGTTATCACAAATCACATGACCTAGATATTTAAAACTGTTGACTCTCCTCAGAGACACTCCATTTAACATTATAGGTGGAATATGCTCTAACTTTTGAATTCCTAATATTTCTTCAGAGCCTCAAAGGCGAGCGGTATCGCCTCAGCGTGGTGGTTGAAGAACTAAAGGCGGCTGGCTCCGTGGAGTACAAGACGGCGCTGCTGGCGTTCCTGAATTGCCTCATTATATCCGCACCGAGGCTACCCGACCGCGCCCGACTGCGAAACGAGCTCATCGGTGAGTAGGGCATCAGTCCTGGTGGAGGAGCTGAAGGTTACAGGCTCGGTGGAGTACAACTGCCTCATCATATCCGTGCCGAGGCTACCCGACCACACCCGGCTGAGAAACGAGCTCATCGGTGAGTAGGTCATTAGTCCTGGTGGAGGAGCTGAAAGTAACAGGCTCCGTGGAGTACAACAGCCTCATTATATCCGAGCCGAGGCTCCCCAACCGCGCCCGGCTGAGGAACCAGCTCATCGGTGAGTAGGGTATCATTCCTGGTGGAGGAGCCGAAGGTTACAGGCTCCGTGGAGTTTGTACTCTGCCTCATCATATCAGAGCCGAGGCTGCCCGACCGCGCCCGGCTGAGGAACGAGCTCATCGGTGAGTAGGGTTTTATTCCAAATGGAGGAGCTGAGGCATTCCTCAACTGCCTCATCATATCCACCCTGAGGATGCCCGACAGTACCCGGCCGAGGAACCAGCTCATCGGTGAGTAGGGTATTATTCCAGGCGGAGGAGCTGAGGCATTCCTCAACTGCCTCATCATATCCACCCTGAGGATGCCCGACAGTACCCGGCCGAGGAACCAGCTCATCGGTGAGTAGGGTATTATTCCAGGCGGAGAAGCTGAGTCATTCCTCAACTACCTCATCATATCCACTCTGAGGCTACCCAACCGCGTCCGGCTGGGACTGAGCTCATCGGTGAGATTATACTGACAAACAGAGAAAGGATGATTATTTTTATACGGGGTGCAACAAATTATCCACCCCACTTGATGTTAAGGGTATTCGTGAAGTTAGATGAGGCCGCTCCAGCCATCCTGACCTCCCCGACCTGAACCCAATCTCCTACCCACGGAACAGTTTCTGCCGCAACATCCATATTCGCGACTGGACTCTACTTAAAGTTACCATCAGGTGGAGGTATTTTGTAGCACCTCGTATAAAAAAAATATCTTCAGACTTTAGACGATGAGTCACGGCGCATTACCTGTATACCAAGTTAGGAAGCCTTTGTTAGTAGTAGCCACAGAATACAGTAAGAGGTTAGAAGGGAGAACGTAGACCGTTTTTACGGGAACCGATGTCACCGTCTCGGCCCCACTAAACTTCCACCTAATAGATAATAACCAATCGAACGACGCGACATCAAGCAATCGAACCAATCAACGCTCACATCCCAGAGCAACGACGCAAACAGAACCAAGTTTTGGTCAAATTATGAGCATTTGCTCACACATAATTGTGGCGCGCTTCTAACCTCTTTCTGGGTTCTGTGGTAGTAGCCTACTAAATAACCTGCTTTTTGTCCTGGAAGTCAAAATTATTCGAAAAGACCGTTCCTTCGAACTTACATTATTTCATTAGTGTTTCAATTGTTTTTTGCTTAACTAAAATAAATTATATTTCACTTTATTTGTAAAAATAAAATATAGAATTCACATTAAAAAATATATATAGATATCTTGAAAAATAATAGGTAAATTCATGAACAAAAACAATGACTTATATTTTATTTGTGTTTAATTAATCAAATTTCTTTCTGCAGGTCTTGGACTACTGCCCACTTTGAACAACTTGAGGTAAGTTTTAAAGTTGTGTTTGAACTTTTAAGGCTATGTAAGACCCTAACCTATTATTATAGCCTTACTAGCAGCTGTACGCGACTTTGTCCGCGTTAACTTTAGTTATATGAGAATCCCACAGGAATTTAATATTTTTTTTGTGGTGTTATGAACACATACAGAAAGACTAGGTGTTTAGAGACACATGCGGCGTCGGAGATTGAGACCAGCTCTCCGATGTTACTGGCTTACTGAGTAGAAAATGATCACCCTATCAAGTTATAGTATCTAAGTTTTTCTGGGATAAAAAGAACCTTATGTCTCAATCATAAACTGAATATGCGACCGATAAGCGTAATATATACATAACTATCACATCTATGTATATAAAACTCAAAGGTGACTGACTGAAAAAGTGATCTATCAACGCACAGCCCAAAGCACTGGACGGATCGGGCTGAAATTTGGCATGCAGGTAGGTCTTATGACGTAGGCATCCGCTAAGAAAGAATTTTGATCAATTCTACCCCCAAGGGGATAAAATAGGGAATGAAAGTTTGTATGAAACTTTGTCAATTTTAAACCTATCGGGCTGAGACTTTGCATGCAGGTATAAGAAGAATCATAGATGAATGTCATTGTGCATAATACAAAAACTGTAGTCTACACTTCAGCTCTATACCGAAGCGAAGCGAGGGCGGGCCGCTAGTATAATAAAATGGTCAAAGTCAAAACTGTACATTGAATATTCTTTTAAAAGAATACTTGGGGTGTGATCTACAATCGATACCGAATCATAGATTAATGTCATTGTGTATATATAATACAAGCCTGAGAACAAAAACTGTAGTCTACACTTCAGCTATACACCGAAGCGAAACGAGGGCGTACAAAGTTTCATACAAACTTTCATTCCCTATTTTATCTCCTTGGGGGTAGAATTGATCAAAATCCTTTCTTAGCGGATGCCTACGTCATAACATCTACCTGCATGCCAAATTTTAGCCCGATCCGTTCAGTGGTTTGGGCTGTGCGTTGATAGATCACTATGTGAGTCAGTCACCTTTGAGTTTTATATATATATTGATTAAAAAAAAGTACTAAATAGATCGCGTCAAAACAATTTTCGGTGGAAGTATACATGGCAGTGTGCAATAAGTTTATTCGAACAAACTATTGCCGTTTAGATTGAATTTACTTAATATGTGACAAGATATTAAGACAATCTGTATCCAAATCAAGCATTTCCCTGTTCAGACTATTTATTTGATTATTCTAATCTAAAAATAAAATAAAAATTGAGATTCAGACGGCAATATCAACAAAAAAAATGTTATTATGACAAAAAATAACACTTCAAAAGCTTTAGAGATACGGTTCAAATTTGCATACACAACAATCATAGCTTAGAATCATAGTTTGGTTTGAACATATTATTGTGATACGCCTATTGATACAAATTGGGACCAATGCCACCATAAAACGATATATTCACAGCTGTCAGACGATAAATCGTAAACTAATATATACCTACCTATACGTGTATTTAAAAAAAACGGTTTTATGATTTTGATTGTGTTTTTGCGTTTTTTTTGTCGTCGCGGACACGCTTGAGAAGGCCCTGTGTTTCGGCAATTTGATATGCGTAAATTTATGGAAAATAAAAGACGTAACGATTGGTTTGATAGGACAATAAGTAGCTCTGAAGTACTTGAAGCAGAAAGAAAACAATTAGGTATAAAGTTCTACACATCAACATTTTAAGATAAACTATGATTGGAACGCGTGGAATTTTTTCTAGTTATATTTTCTTTAGATTTAAACATCAAGCAGTTACATGCTTTAAAATAATAAAAATTATAACTATAATTGCTATTTCTTCTTTCAAATGTTTAATACATGTAAAATTATTCATTTGACATTGTGGGTTACCTATAATGCGACGAGATGGCGCTTCCTTAAGAATGGCTAGAAGAATTTCGACGCGGTCCTTGAGGACCGCGGTAGCATAATTGGTCAGTGCATTCGCCCGGATTGCGAAGGGTGCGGGTTCGAGTCCCGTCTGCTGCCTGGTCCGCGTGGATTTTTTTCTAGTTATAGTTTCTTTAGATATAAACATCAAACAGTTACATGCTTAAAAAATAAAAATTATAACTATAAATTATGATGTTTTACAGTTATACATGTATATGTCATACACGTTTCAAATTTGCCAATACGGGAGTGAGGTAATTGCCCGACTTGCATTCAGTCGGGCACGCTCTCTCGCCGCGGCCACACTTCGCTACAACGTGTAAATATTTTACGTTTTTCTAGGCAAAAAGCACTATATGTGTTTGTAGATAGTACACAAATTACACGGGAACTTTATGAGCCAGTAAAAACGTGTCACATCATTCGTAAATACAGTTTTTTAAGCAAGCCTATATAAGAGAGATATCTCTTACTTTTGTTTAACATTGCGATATGTTTTAAACAAAAAGGTTATTATCTTCAAAAACAGTGTTTAGAGATATCGTGTTTTAAAGTTTTAAAAATCATAGAAGTGGAACTACTTGTTCAAATGTTTAAAATGATACCTTGATTTAAACGTACATTATCCTTCTTTGTGCTGATTAAGTTTAGTTAGTGTATCAATAGTAGTTTTTATTTTAACAGTACTTTTATGTGACTGGGTAAAGATAATAAATACCCTATAAGCAGTTCAAATGGCGTAGATGTTAAAATTAGGACTACCTTGCTTGACCAAAATCTACTATATTATATGGACAACTGCATTGGACAAAAATGGGCAATTTAGTTTTTTTAACTTTATACCCTATTGTTAGTGACGTGCGATCTGTACATATCAGCTAAGTATAAGAGGTTGCAAGTTAATGCTATTAATGTATTTCGAACTATTTCAAGATTCGTTTTTACTTTTTACTCGACTACTTCATGTTTTGTGTAGTGTATGCATTTTGACATTTCTCTATATGACAGGCAACACTATCTCGTGCGTACCACGTCAGTAATACGAGAGCTGTGAGCGAGAGTAGACGTGTCGGTTATCTGTCCGTTAAGTGCGTGAACGAGCCTGTGATATCCCACTATAGGACTGGTTCTACATTTTGCATTTTAGCAATAATCTAATTGGCTCAATTATTTGCACTTGGTTGTTAGCCCGAATACGACTGCCAATAGAATTCTGTAAACATTGCCCGTATTACAGAATGACAACTAAGTGTTGATCTTAACTTGAGTACAGTTAGAAAGGGATATCGCTATGTGCTATATATAGCGACATCCCTTTCTAACAATGCTCAAGACTAGATCAATCACTGAGGATCTTTCTATAATACGAGCCTAAGTGTATATGAACGGAGTCGAGTACTCCCGTATTCGGATAGATTTCGTTTTGATTTTATTTATTTTTTAAGCATTTAACTGCTAGATGTTTAAATCTAAAGACATTGTGGGATTACCTACAATGCGAAGAGATGGCGCTGCCTTGCAGCTTAAGGCTACGAAAAATTTCGACGCAGCTAATAGGGCCGTGGTAGCATAATGGTCAGTGCATTCGCCCGGATAGCGAAGGATGCGGGTTCGAGTCCCGTCCGCTGCCTGATCCGCGTGGATTTTTTTCTAGTAAACTTTTCTTTAGATTTCGTTTTGTTTACCCGATACCGTATTCCAGCCTAAGATTAAAACAAAAAGGGTAGATACGGTACGCTCATACTTGCATCAAACAAAAACTGATCCCACGGCAGCGCGAACGGGACGGCGAGATCCGCGTCACTGCATTACCGACCCGAGCGAAACAGCACGTTAAGTTTCAACGGCAGCGCGAACGAGACGGCGAGATCCGCGTCACTGCACTACCGACCAATCACGCGACCAGCAGGCCAATTATGCTCGCTAATTGTGATATTGTTTTGATGTCTATTTCACATTACGTATTATGCTCTCCGAAAAATGCGATATCAAAATGACATCAACTTATGCTATGATGATGATCAACTCTATAAAATGATATCAACTTAAATGCGTATTACGTTCAACTTTTTGACTTAAAATAGTATCGCATAAACGTCAAAAATGTGATACAGGATATGATATTGATATGATCTTGATGTGACATAGGAATGTTTCATAATACCATATAAAAACAATGTCAACTTGGCATCAACATCATATTGACATCACATTAGAATTTTATTACTGAAGCATAATTGACCCACAGTACTCGACGTCACTACCGAATAAGATTCAAAACAAACTGCAATTTCTATGAAAAAATATATTTTATAGTACTTACGAATGAAAAGTGATGCCGTGGGTTTTATTTTTAGTTCTTGAGCAATTTGAGCACTTTTCAAAAACACACTTAGGCATGTTTTATCATATAAACACAAAATATTAGCAATATTTCTTTTTGGCGTTCACATGTACGTCGTTTGCATGTCAAGTTGTGACTAAAGAGATTAGGGTCGTGGACCACAATTTATGCTGATCACTTTTGTGAGGCTAGTGCCGTATCTACCCTTTTTGTTTTAATCTAAGATTCCAGCCCGTATTCCTGTGTTAATAAATATTGCTTCGGGTGCCCTTGTTAAGCGAAGGCGTCAAACCACAGATTATGGTATAAATTAGCTCAAACCGGATCGTTGAGGCTGTCCCGTGAAATTAATCTTCGTACCAACCTGTTTTTAAATATTACCTGCGTTTGGGTTTGACTGTGCGAAAGCTCTCACGAAAATCTTATCAACACTTATTTATTTTGCTAATAATTAAAAGAGAATAAATGATATTTAAATATCTAAAATGACAACACGTTATATTTTATAGCAGTTTTCCATTTAAGCAAAATTGAAAAACTACGGTCTTACTACAAAAGAGTTGGACAGCTTCAAATCTTGTTTAGGCAAATTTTATATGACATAATTATGTTTTTTTCTAGTTATACTTTTCTTTAGATTTAAACATCAAGCAGTTACATGATTTAAAAATAATAAAAATTATAACTATAATTGCTATTT